AAAAAAAAAAAAAAAAAAAGAAAAGAAAAAAGAAAAAAAAAAGTTCTACTTTTCCAGTAGTTGCTTTTTTCACTTATTATCTGACTCCTGATCCTTGTAGGACTCTTTAGCTCAGAATTATGAATAAGTGGAACCAGAACTCATATATGAACATAATCACCCTTCAAAGTAATATTTCAACACTGGTGACTAAGTCTTTATTGATAACGATAGAGCTGGTGCTCTTAAATGTTGCTGCCTCACTCCCTGCAATTGGAAAGCATATTTCTCTGAGGACCTAGCTTATTCTTAACTTTAATGTAATTGAAAACAAGTAGAAGAGGTAGCCTTCTTCTTCTGAAACCAAGGCACACAAGATACGCTGTCACCATTTACTTTTTTACCTTGCATTTTCCTTTGGAGTGAGAGCGACGTCTCCATCGGATGCAATGTCAATCTCACAGTGCTCAGGCTGAATCCCTATGCCGAAGAGCTGGATATCCTGAGAGGTGTCTGCACCCACCCTGGTGTGATCCTAGTAATAGATTATTAAGGAAAGAAAAACCACACTTGTAAGTAAACAAAAATTTATCACAATCAATTTGAATAATACAGCAGCATATGCCCCAAAATATTAAATGAATCATGCCAGTGATATTAGATATCTGAAGCACTAGAAGTCTAAAGCTTATACACATGCACTAAATTTTTAAAAAAGAATTTAAACAAAAACTGCAAAAAAGAACCCTGATGATTAGTGTTTTTTTTTTTTCCTGAGTCTCTCTGTTACCCTTGATAGAGTGCCATGGTGCCATAGCTCACAGCAACCTCAAACTCTTGGGCAGAAGTGATCCTCTTGCTTCAGGCTCCCAAGGAGCTAGGACTACAAGCACCTGTCATAGTGCCAGCTAATTTTGGAGATAGGGCCTTGCTTTTGCTCAGGCTAGTCTCAAACTCCTGAGCTTAAGCAGTCCACCAGAGTGCTAGGATTACAGGCCTGAGCCACCATGCCTGGCTAGATATTATTTTAAAACATCAGGGAATTGGACTTGACAATAGCACACTGGTGTTCCAATTTTGATTAGTATAGTAAGTGGTGACAGGCAAGTCATTTCACTCTCTGAGCCTCAGTTTCTTTTTTGGCAATACCAGGACAATACCATCTATTTGACATACTTAACAATTCTCTCAAGAATCGTATCAGTAGGCATTGAAAGTGTTTTGAAACAGTTATCTAAACTTAAGAACCACTAAAAAGAAGATTCACAGAAAGTCATATTTTAAAACATTTAACTTTCAAAATGCTAAAAACATTTGAGTTTCTAACACCAATATTACACAGAGTACTGAAGCCCGTGGGTTATATGATGTACAAACTAGTGTGATTTTAAGCACCTCAAACTTCAGACACATGAAGACAGATACTGCTGGTGATTCAGTCATCACTTACCCCTTTTGTTTTAACTGTGATAAGGATACTTCCCTATCCAACCGAGAAAGCATAAAGCTTGGTCTGTGAAAGTTAAAGTTTCAGAAACAATTCCTAACCCCCTTCTTAACCATTACCTATATAAACAGATCTCAAGTCTGTTAGCAGATTTTCAATAAGTCAGGGGCTATCTACACCATATTTATGTCTCTGGAAATAGCAGAAGAAAAAGGACACAGAAGATTCAATTCCAGCTTATTCTTTGTTGCATATTACATATTCACTAGGCAGCTCAGAATCCTTAACAAGCGCCTAATCAGTCACAAGCAGACAATACCTCTGCATGTAGAGATTTAGGTGTGTGGACAGTATATGCAAGCTGCCTTCAAGTCTCCAGTCCCCTGTCCTTGCTAATCTCAATCTCCATAATTCAGAAAGAAGGAGTGAGATTAGAAACACCCTGAAGGGCACTGAATGCCCTATGTCAGGTGAGGTGCCCCACATCAATGTCAATCAGGTATTTCAAACAAATATCTTATTTTTCACTTAAGAAATAAGCCAGCAGTTCTAAAAATGTGTTCTGACAACCCTTAGGGCCTTTGAGAGCCTTCTAGGAGGGCTACTTTAATAAAACACTAAGATGTTGCTTGTATTTGCTTTTTCATTTTATCCTGTGTGTGCAGTGGAGTTTTTCAGAAGCTTTATGATGTGTGATGACATTGTAGCTCTGAAAACTAATGACTGTGTGTTTGTATTTTAAAATGCTCTCAGTCTCAATGTCCAAGACAGCAAATATAGACAGACAGAACTCAGACACAAAAAGTTCTTTAGAGTCCTTTGAAGAATGTAAATATATTCTGAAGTCTGAAAATTTGCGAACTGTTACAATAAATGACCCAATGTAGCATACCCTGAGACAAAAATACCAACTCCTACACTTGAAACGTGAGTAAAGGACCAGAAGTTACTTCCTGAGGATGTAGGTTTAGAAGGGACAGACAAGGAAGAACCCTGCTGTCTAATCTAGCACCAGGGTCTTGTGCTGATCTTGAGATCTCCTTAGAATCAGTCAGAAGCATAACTGAGAACCCCAAAGCTTCTCAGGATCTTCATGGCTCAACCCAGATATTCTCAGAATCTTTTTTTTTTTTTTTTTGAGGCGTAGCCTCAAGCTGTCCCCCTGAGTAGAGTGCCGTGACATCACAGCTCACAGCAACCTCTGGGCTCAAACAAGTCTCCTGCCTCTGCCTCCCAAGCAGCTGGGACCACAGGCGCCCACAACAATGCCTGGCTATTTTTTGGTCGCAGCTTTAATTGTTGTTTGGCGGGCCTGGGCTGGATTCAAACCTACCACCTTAGGTATATGTTGCTGGCGCCTTAGCTACTTGAGCCACAGGTGCCAAGCCTATTCTCAGAATCCTTATCAACTCACACCTGGAACCTTCTCCTATAGCTGGATATTACCTTGACACCCTCTGTGGCCCACCTGTGCCCCATGAAGCCTAAACTTGCAGGAAATCAACTCTGACCGCACAGCTGCGGGATCATACAAAAGAGACATTAATGTCCCTTCCCAATGGTCATCTGACTGCACCTATCCATCCTCTTACATTTTTTCTTTTTTGAGACAGGGTCTCACTCTGTTGCCCAGGCTGGAGTGCAGTGGTACGATGCTAGCTCACTTCTACCTCAAACTCTTGGGCTCAAGGAAATGATCTCCTGGGCTCAGCCTCCTGAGTAGTTGGGACTACAGGTATGTACCAGCATGCCCAGATAATTTTTTTAAATTGTTTGTAGAGATGGGGTCTATGACTCCTGGTCTCAAGTGATCCTCCCACCTCAGTCTTTCAAAGCACTAGGATTATGGTCCTAGTTGCTTCCTTTTTTTTTTTGAGACATGGGGTCTATGACACCTGGTCTCAAACTCCTTGCCTCAAGTGATCCTCCCATCTCAGTTTTACAAAGCACTAGGATTATAGTCACTGTTGCTTCCTCTTATTATTATTATTTTAGAGACATAGTCTTATTTTGTCACCCCTGGTAGAGTACCATGGTGTCATAGTTCACAGCAACCTCAAACTCTTGCGCTTGGGCATTCCTATTGCTTCAGCCTCCTGAGTGGCTGGGACTACAGGCACCTGCCACAATGCCTGGCTAGTTTTGCTATTTTTAGTAGAGTCGGGGTCTTGTTTTAGAACTTCTGAGCTTAAGCAATCTACCTGCCTTGGCCTCCCAGAGTGCTAGGATTATAGGTGTGAGCCACTATGTCTGACCCCTCCTCTTACTTTTAATGAGGGCTAAGCTGGGTGAGAAAAACAAAATCATGGAGTCATGCAATCACATTCACCTGGGAATCATACATGAATAAATAAGGATTGCAACAAACTATTCATATACTCTCATACCTTTAAATAATAAACCAGAAGTTCGTTGAGCGCAGGGTCTGCATTCAGGTTGACTAAGTAGCATTTGTCATCCCCCACCTTGATGCCAGACGTCTCCAGGGAAATCCCCATGCTTTCAAGTTGTCGTTGCCTCTCCTGTGCATAAAAACAGACAAAATCAGAGAACTCTATTTGTTGCTCTTTTCACAAGATGTATCCATGGAAAAGAGTAAGTCACTGTTTCTGGGGACAATGCCAATGAGGTCACACATTCTACTCAGCTGAATCCAGTTTATGAGAGCCTGTTATGTGTGACGTCTTGTGGTGTTACAGGGGCACAGGGATGAACCAGACACCATCTCAGTGCTTAAGGAGCTTAGAGCCTCACAGAGGGACAAGACTACACAACTGAACCCCAAAGAGGATAACACGGTGCTACTGGAGGGGCACAAAATGCTGAAGGTTTCAAAGGAAGGATATCATGATTGTTTCTGAGACAAAGTCTCACTGTCACCCTGGTTAGAGTGCCATGGCATCACAGTTCACAGCAACCTCAAACTCTTGGGCTTGAATGTGTATCACCATGCCCAGCTAATTTTTTTTTATTTAGCATCAGGAAGAGAATATATTTGAGAGGGTTCTTAAAGCATGAGTAGAACTTCAATAGGAAGATAAGGGCAGGGTGTTCCTGGGGTAGGGCACATGGAAGTACAGGAAGGACTCCAGACGTACTAGATAACTTCAGGGGCCAAGAATCCCCAGCAAATCTGGGAAAGCAGCAGGAGACAGGGCTGGAAGAACAGGTTGGGTCCCTACGCTAGAAGGCCTTGAATTCATTTATTTGTCCATTTATTCAAAAGAGATTTATCAGAGTCTACAATGTGGTAGGTACTGATCTAGGGCTGGGAATACAACAGTAAAGCAAAGTCCCTTCTTTCACTGAAACATATTCTAGCAGGTAGACCATAAAAAAAAAAGAGTAAATACGATACATAGAATTTCCAATGGTGCCAAGTACAATGGAGAAACATAAAGCAAAGTGAAAGAGATGGGAAGTTAGGGGTGAGAGAGAGAGACACAGTTAATGACATCTACAAGAAAGTTATCAGCAGAGGGCTGGATAGAGTTACAGTGACTACTTTTTTTTCCAATTAAATGATAGCTGTATACATTAATGCAATCACGGGGTACAGTGTGGTGTATTCATATATAATTTGATACAGTTACTACTTTTAAGTTACTTGCTTGGGATGGTCCAGTATTTCTAAATGGTCAGTGAGATTTCAAATGTTCATGACATAGTGTAGAAAGATTCATAACAGACACACATCCCTGCAGAATCAGTCCTTCCTTTATATTTTAATTCAAGTAAAGCAAAGAGTTAAATACATGGAAAAAACTACTATGAGTCATATGTTACAAATTCTCTGCCAGTCAGGTAGCCTCATGCTTTGCCAGGTGATCTAAAAAAAATCACAAAACAGACTTTTGTTTAAATGTGAAGAGCAGGAAATAGAAAAGACACTTCCTGTAATCAGGCCTGGTCAAATTCAGTGTTTTCTTAACACGTTAAGCAAATACATGGACTGAATTGTAAGTTGATAAAGGACAGGCAGTCAGTGTCTGAAACTGATGTTTGCAATCTCTAGTTCAGCAGAAAGGGACCCCTGAGAGACTTTGAGGATGACAGGTGACTATACAGAAAAGACTACAAGTGAAAGAGAATCCCAATTTTTTAGACCTAAGTTATCAAACCACCTGTGCGATCTCTTCTGTTTTCCTCAACTTCTCTTCCCAAGTCACTGTTAGTTCTTTGATCAGCTTTTCAGACTCTTCGAGCTTCTCCTTCAGTTCAGGGGCCTTCATGGCCTTTAAAACAAAACCAAACATATTTGACTTTCAAAATTTTCCCACCACTTATGAACAAGACAATCATTTACTGTCCTTAAGCAGTTATCAATAGTCTGCTGGAAACAAGTCGTTCAATGTTGGGGTGAGTGAGCAAATGAGGTTGCTCCTGTTTCAAGGAGGAAAAAGAGCCAGTGTCCTGAATGAAAATGAAATAAATTATTATAGAGGCATCTTATCCATCATATTAAATTTCAGGTTTGAAGATAAAGATGCTGAAGTCCATCTTCAAAATAGAAAAGGAGGGGAAAGAGATTACATAAGCAGGTTTCTTTTTCACTGAGGCAGAGATCAATACATACCATTAATGAGTGTATTCCAATTATATTAATCTGCTAGAAAAGGTAAAGATGTTTCTCATTTATTTAAAAATTTGAATCTGGGCTCGGCGCCTGTGGCTCAAGTGGCTAGGGCGCCAGCCACATACACCTAAGGTGGCAGGTTCGAATCCAGCCTGGACCCACCAAACAACAATAATGGCT